CGAGAACTTGCTATACCGTAGCGAAACACGGCAAGAAAAACTATAAACAGACAGCACGGGAGCGCGGGGCAGCCCGTGACACCACGGTCGGTGCCCCGAGACAGACTGCTTTGACAAAATATCCAATTTCGATAACTAATAATTCTGATCATCTGATTGGTCGAGACCCTTATAGCCGATAACTCTTCTATCTCCTTCTAGCCGTCCCTTTAAACCAAATCGAGAGCGTTCCTTAACGAATCGGTACGTAACTTCTGGAGATCCTCCACGGCAGATTCGAGCACCTCGACCTCAACTAAACAATAACGAAATCTCACGAGAGCCTTGACACAACTGTACGAATCAACCCGAGAGCGCAGCTTCTGAGCAAAGTGGCGACCCGAAGGGAACCAGAAATCGAGAACGTTATCTGTATCGGTAACCGAAGCCGCCTTGGGACCGTGATTCGAAAAATCACGTCACAATATACATATATATATATATATATATATATATATATACACGCATTCCAATATCCTTTTTGACCCAGGTACCGGTACAATTGGAGTGGATGAATGAAAAGAGAGAATTCTGTTTTTCTTTGTATATATACATATACCGGTATCGTTGGCCGCTTCGTAAAGAGAAGTTAGATTGAATCCAGTATAGTCGGCTGCGGGAAGATAAACGTTTCCGGATTGACGTATAAAAGTGTATTTTGTTTTCTGCTCCGCTGTTTCCGGAAAATGAATAGTCTTTTTTATGACGAATTATCAAGAACCATTCACGTCCTCGCTGCGAGGTGCTTTTATATTCGGATGTGTTTTTAATCGACTGTTAGGCTTTCTCCGGAAAGAACTTATCTGTATATATGTATATATATATATTTGCTATAGCACTTATAGCCAATCGAAAACCTGTGTTGAAATACATACTTCAAATACTATCGAGGAATACGATACAGTCAACGTAAATACGTTATCAGTTGTGATTGCAACGTGACGTTCATTTTTATCAATGCCCCCACGGGTCCCAGGGATATAAGCGTCGCGACGTCCGCCCACTATTTTTTGCGAGGCCAATTCTCTTTCTGTCCAGGGACACATAGCAGTGACGTGATTCAGGGCACGTAAAGGCGAAATCGCACGTGGTCGTCATGACGAATTAACGTCATTTACTTGGAATCTAGGTAACGTGTAGAATTTCAAGGAAAAAAAATATATATATGCGGGAAAATAAATTTTTGAAAAATTTCTCAATACAAATGACGAATGAAATTTTTTGGATAAAAATAAATATTAACGTTCAATCGATAGCGATTTTACCCGATTGCTACTGCACGGTCAGGAATGCCCGATAGATTGTCCGCTCAGCTGTCAGATTTGGACGGGGCGAGTGAATTATTGTCAATTTCCATGACGCTCGCGTGAGAATGAACTTTAAAGGAGCTATCACAACGAATGGGATAGTATCGGTAGATCAGACGCAGATTAGGGAATTACCTGGTAACTAATTCAACGCTGCACTTAGGTTTAACCTGCAATCCTGCATAGCTACGTACATATATTGCTTATGGAAAACTCATGGGAATTATATCGTACTAGCTATAATTCATTTACTTCATGTTCTCCCCGAGACAATTTTCCTCAGTAGTACACGAGACAGATATAGATCGGCCGTAACATATATCATGTATGAGTTATTCTACGGAAACCCAACACACGTGTGATCGTCAATTTCTCAGTAACTTCGGGACACGTTTGCATAACTTGAATGGATCTAACTTAATTTTTTTAAGATTTTTTAACCGTACCCGATTTTTTTTTCGTTTTTGACATTTTTCATGCGACCCTTTTTGCGAGCTTTATAAAAATTGAAAAAAAATGTTTTGTAAATTAATTTTCAAAAAATTGTCAAAAATCAATATTGCCCCATAGTCATACGAGACTCTCGATATTTATGAACGCACAACGAAGATACGAGATTACGGAAAACCACGGAATCCACAAGTGTGCCGGATTTCAAGGACATTTCGGGCTTACATACACAGTCGATAATCCGGATCACCAGTTGCGCATCTGGCGATTAGATGAAATTTATCGTCCAAATAAATAGTCATAAAAAATGGCAATTCTTTTCCATGTCAGTCGAATAAAAATTTATACCCCGTAATAATTACACCGAGACGTACTTATTATGCAATTAAAAAAAAAAAAAAAACCAAGATCAAAATATTACATGTACATTCTAACGTAAATTTGACTGCGAATTAATAATGGTTTACGTAATTAACCTTACGGCGACGTAAGTGCATCCATAGGGATGTCTAAAGAGAGCAAGCGCACGGCAGATTCTCAGTAAGTCCGGGGACGGTTCCTCCAGGTACGCGTTATCTCAAGGAATTTCCCAGGGGCGCCCGAGGCCACCGGTAGTGCTGTAAAGTACCTCGGAGGCGCGTCCACTGCCTACCTAAAACACCGTGGGCCCCGTGCATCCCGTATCGATCATTTCGTTTATACCGTCTGCAAATTTATGAGTCATTTACATAGCGAAGCGACGATGGCCGCAAGGTATACGTTATACATTGGAGATGTACACGTTATACATGGGGAAGCTAGCAGGTAGATATTTCCAGTGTATTTAACGTATGATAATGGAACAGAATATACGGGCGGGACGTCACGAAAACCCATTGAACTTTCGCTCTATATTATTGTTCTTACGTAAATTACGTATACGGCTACGTAACTCATTGGTTGCATGTACTCTTTTTTTTGTTATTTTACAAAGCGACCTGAATGTAAAAAATCGTTAATCAGCCTAGACACGTGTACAAAGTTTTATGGGAATGCGTATGTGAAAATACGACACGTATGTTACGTGTCCGTAAATTCTTGTATGCTCTGGTCACACGTGGGAATGTTTGTCGTAATTGAAATTTTCCGGTAAAACTTTTTTTTTCATTTGTATTTTGACTTTTTTCCGAATTCATATTGCACTCATGATGAAATCCATTGTTGGTTGTGTATCACCAGTGACCTCTGACACGTGGTTTCGAGCGACAATTTCTACGGGACACTTTATCCTGTCGCTCTTTGCGAATCCATTTCCATAAGTCCGTTTTCGCTGGGTCATTTGCATCCGACTGCATTATATCGCAGGGACGTACTAGGGAGTGAGAGAGAGAGAGGCAGAGGGGCGGTCGACGGAAGAATGGTGGAAAAAGAGAGAAAGGACAGGTACGTGCCTTTATTACGGATGAGGTCAGGGGAAAAGAGGGCGGGACAATGGTGCACCTTCAAATTTGTATTCATTATATTCGTATTCAGTGTTATACGGAGAAACGTTGTTTTTCCGAGTTCTCTTTTAACATTCGCGGTGTATTAGAGCGCGGGAGCGAGGGGAATTTGAAAAAGGGAATGAAAGGTACAAAAAAAACATTTAAGAAATACATAACTGTTTTTCTTACCCGTTATACGATCGCGATGTTATTTCCATGAAACTCGGAATCGTCGATTGGCAAACTGTTGCGAATCGTATAATTCGCGGTACATCCGATCGAGAGCGCGGATTATTTTTTTCCCTCCGATTCGTAAGAAAAGTTGAAAAGGGAATGAGAAAAAAAAAAGAAAAATAAGAATCCAGGAAGAAAAAGAAAAAATCGGAAAGAGTGGAAGAGCATAAAAAATAAATAAACAGAAAAAAAAAATAGTCGACAGTCCATTACACGTCATCAGGTCTTCAACAAGGTGAAGATTGAAGAGGAACCTCTCTTCACTGTGAAGCTACAAAGAGGATGCTCGATCGTTTTTCTAATTTTTATCTATTTTTTTTTAATCTCCCAATTCCTCCCCTCCACCACCTCCCGTGCTCAAGACGAACCTATCCATCAGGGGTTGATGAGCGGTGATCGTGACCCCCTTGAGCGAAGTGGAATTTGAGTCTTAAAAAAAATAATAATAACAATCCACGTCTCACCTGTCACTCTCCGTAGTCTTCTGAACTTCCGGTTCCGACTGCGGTACTGCTTCCGATTCCACAGTGACTGAGTTGCTCCTGTCCGGTGTTGATCCTGCTGGAACAGCCTCATTCTCGGCCATCCTGGACCAGGTCCTGCTGCCGCGAACTTAAGCGCCCGATAAGCACCGAACGATAACGCGCAGAATTTAATAATTTTTTGAAAAAGTTCACAACACTTTGACAGCCCTGCCACAGGGCGGAAATGACGTAGCACGTCCTTGACCCATCAGAACATGATCCCGAGACCACCGGTACCCATCCTTCCCGCGAGGCGGCTTACACACTTCCGGATGGAACATCCAGGGGTAGGAAAAGATCTTTACCAGGGTCGCAACACTTAATCCTGACGACTTTTACCCAGATACCCAAAAACTTTTTGAATCCTTCGTAGAGGCCGATCGAGAGGCTATAAATATGGAAAGAAAAAGAGACAGGAGTTAGAAGAATTTCTTGACACTAAAAAAATCCAACCTAGGTAGAATCATGGTGGCTAAACCCAATAAAGATCCCATAAAGGTTCTAAGCAGCAGCTATACTGGTAGCAATAAGGGTAGCTATAAAAGTAGGACGATGAAGAAGTATTTGCCCTGTAGGGCTACGGTAGGGTTAGGGGTTGTCGGAACACGTATAGAAATAGCAGCGAGAAAGGATCACAGCGGATCACAGCGGACACCCCCATCCTGACGAACGACTCCTCCGGACGAATCCTGGGCAAACAATACAGCTGGAGATTATCGCGAGATAAATGCGATTTTTTTTTTATATACGTCACAAAGCCTAGAATAAATCCAGAGGAAGAAAATAGAGAATTTCTAGAAACCAGCAAAAGCGACCCGACCTCCTCTTGAGCTGCTTGGGTGGGTCTGATGAGTGATAAGGACACTTGAGAGAGAACAAGTTATTTTTGCTCTGCAAATGTTTCAATAAACTAACCTAACCCGTTAGAAAAAAAAATTTCACGATTCTTATTAACATTTATCTCGGCGCTTTTGCTATTTTCTCACAAAATTGCAAGACCTTAGACTGTGTTAGACGTATCGTGACATTGCGTATATTGCCAAGAATTTTGTCTCTTTGCCTTTAGTGCATATGTAAATGGAGTAGATACATGAGTATATGTTTTCTATATATATATATATATATTCTCCTGGCGTTATATTTTACATACTGGCTACAGGCAGGGCTTAGTGCGAAAGCGTCAGACTTAAATCTGGAAAAAAGTCACTAGGACTGTTTCACGCTGTTATCAGATTTGCTATTTTAGACACTGATAACTGCTACCACCTTAGGAATTTCTTGATACACGAGAAAATTGTATTTCACGCGTTCATCTTCGAAATGCTAGCACGCTGTAGGTATGGCGTGTACGGGATGAATGTTTGTGTTATATAACATCCTGTATATATTCATAGTACACGCTTGATATATACATATGCGTATGAGTAACTACAAGAAATATGTCTAGTATTCAGGGCAGAGTCGACTGGATTTTTTTTTTTTAAATATGCGAAACTCGATCGGCTCGTGTATTCGTTTCCGTTCGCGACAAAAAAAGACTTCCGGTGTGTCCCCGAGGCTCGACCAAGTCTATCAGCCGGGTGGGTTGAAGTGGAGAAACGAAGTGGAATACATAAAAAGAGTGAAAAGCAGAAGGGGTATCGGGATAGCGGGACAGTCAAAAGGATAAGAGGATAAGGGATGAAAGTAGCATCCCTCGGTCGGCAGAAGAGTCACGAAGCAGTTTGAGGTTAGGTAAAAAAAAACGCAGTCGGAAGAGTTCAAGAGTTCACAAGTAAAACGGAGCCTGGTTGAAATGGCTAGAAAATATTTTCCCAGCTATCTACCGGGTGTTTAATAAGTCTTACGTCAGCTTCAGGTATACAGTAATAGCTATAGGTGCAGACGAGAGGGATAGGGAAAAAATGGGGGTTCGGATAGAAGAGAAAGTAGGGCTCGGATAAGAAACTCGAAATTTGGCAAAGTAATTTCAGGAAGGGGTTGCTACCCCTTTTCGATCATCACTATTGACGCCCAGAGGGTGTCTCCCGAAACTCTTGGGGAAAGTGAAAGGATCCTTCGGGATGCAGGTGAAAACTTTCGATCGAATCTTCGAAGGGCTATCGTTCGAGTGGACCACTGGATCAGCATCATTTTCCTACCCTTGTAATCTTGGTCAGGGTGTCCATCTGGAGGGATGAATTGTAGACTGAGGTTAAAGGGTTAAATTTGGCCTGGACCAAAAATTCTTAAAATCTCGCGCGGACGGACCCGGCCACTCCGTACGAAGGGTTGTCGGGCGAGATGGGGAAAGCGACAGGGGGTGGATTTAGCAATGTAAAGCTGGAGCGCGGGGGTGAGTCTGGGAGTATTTTCAAAGGGGGATGAAGAACGCACAATGTTGGTCTGGCCAGTTGAAAGCTTGCCAGAAGGACAAAGCTGCTTTGAGAAGATACGAAGATGGGCTACGATTTAGGGGTTGAGGGTTACGGGGTGACTGGCTCACCCGGTACAATGCCATTAATCATACTCACGGGCTTGGGATTAGACCGAAGTAACACAATGTTCCTTGGTTGTTGTGTCTGGTGTTAGTCCCACCGTGACTACTATGAGCTGCTAACACCTTCGCGATATTACAGCCCTTTTAGCTACGGCTTTATCTATAAGACAGGGCACTTTCTTATTAATCTGCGTTATAGATAAATTTCCGTATCCGTCATCCCTTAATTGAGAATTATATCGGTTAATCGGGGGTGGATTCGATTTTGAGGATTTTTTTGTCCTGTATCATTTTTTCGATTTGATTCAGTGGGTGTCGTTTTATGGTAGTCAACAAAATTTACAACCCTTAAGACACGACCTTAGCCATACAGTAGGGTGTATGCATTATCAGAAGCCGTTCTGCAAGGCTTTGAATATTGAAGGCTAGACTACGGGTATATATGGATAGTCTCTATTTTGTTCATTCATATTTTTGTTTACTATGGAGTATTTTTAATTCCCCCTTATCATCCCCTGTTATCCTCCCTCTTTTCTGAATTCCTTCCGGCTCCGAGAAAACGAGCGCCATTAGCGCAAAGCTTTCCGCTGTTAGGAGCGCAACATTTTTTTTTCATCCCCGAACTTTACCACCCCTGGATGAAAAAGCTTAGAGAGACTGCCCGAGAAAGTCAAGGTGCGTCAAGGGGAGTCCGAGGGTGCGTAAGAAAATTATAGAAGATAAAGACATTCATTTGCGAACGGAGCTTTAAGGGTACGTTCGCAATAATTTATATTGCCCCGAGCTTCCTTCCGATGTATTGCCTAAGTTACCTTGAGTTCTGGGGGGGGGGAAAAATTGGAAATTTTTTGTATTTTCGAGAAGTGAACACATTCGTGGAATGGGAGCGAGTAGCAATGTACATTGCTGGAATAAATGGAACGAAAGTAAAATTAAATAAATAACAGAGCTGACCAGCTTTCTTGGTATCGAAAGATTTTACGTGTGGGGGTGCGTTATAAGGGTAGGGCCACACCAATACCCAGGTCAAAACAATTTAACCTGTTAACATTGCTTTCTACTCCCTCAGGTTGTCATAGAATTTCAACCCCCTTTATATTACGGCCCTGCACCCTCTCACTACTTGGAACTAGCGTAGTTTCCACGAGAGCGACCGAAAGTATGAAAACGGGGATAAATTCGTCCGCGCCGTTGCACCACACTTGTAGGTCTGTGTGTCATGAAATGAAAAAAAAAAAAAAAAATTTCTAAGAACGATATTTATTTTGTGTAACTTTTTGATTAAATTTTTTTACGAGCTAATTTAGCTAACTTGAAAATTGCCTCGAGGATCTTTATTGGTTTTCACCGTAATCGCCCTACCGCATTAACGGCAGATGACTCGAACGATTATTTTTGAAACACTTGTACTCTCTCGTTTACTTTACTTACTTATCGCCAATGTTTGGCAAACACGACGTGAACTTTTCTACGAGCTTTTCCCGTCGACTTGCATAACTATTTGCTTTTATTTATTTACTCCCGATTGCCCAACGTGCCACGGCCCGTACGTCGAATTAAGCCCGGAAGTAAAGTTCCAAGTACTAACTGCACCCTATGCACGTGAGTGCATATGTGAATTGTAGTCGAGAATGCAACGGACTATTGTTATTATTGGAACTAGTAGAAATGAAATTTGCGTTTGAAAAATAAAAATTGTCATTTGTGACGATTCCAATATGGAAAAAAAAAAAATAAAAAAAATTATATCACTCGATTCGAAAAATTGTCTAATTTTTGGATTATTTATATAATCTTTCTATCACATTTTCAATTGATGCTCAATCGGCACACGGTAGATACATATCATTCGTTAAGTTTTTTTATTTTAATTAGTGCGACACATTCACGTGGTCTTTCTGTAAAAGTTTATTATTTTAATTTCACGGGGTTTTTTTTTCCAAAATTTTTATGTTACTTTTCTATTGAACGTCACGACGCGAGCACAAGCCTCCGTGCCTTCGTCCGACGTCCGACGTTCGGGACGGTCCGGCGTATACTGAGCGACGCCGACGCAGCCGTCGCGACGGCAGCCAAGTTCCGTTTACTCTTGCTAATCATGACATCCACACGGCGCAGCCCCTTTTTCCTCTGATTACCGCGACGAGCACTATACTTCCCTATAGCAAAAAGGAACCTGTACAATTTTACTTGTACTTATGGGGTGTAGAAATTATCCAAAAATTTGGTCACGTGGTTTTTATCAGGTTTTTATAAAAATTCATAATAGACATAGATATATATGTCTCTGCCGAAAAAAATGGCCTATATTAGTAATGGATTTTAATTTTCATATTGCACCTGTAATACAGGCTTTACATAGCGACACAGAGCAACATTTATCACGTGATATTTTGTTCAATTTCAAAAATTTTCAAATTTCACATTTCACTTTGAAACAAAAATCCTCAATGATAACAATGCGAATATTTGACACAGCGCTTATCGGCAAAACTTTTTACAGCGGATTCTCATAAAGTCCTACAGTTCTGTGAAAAAAAAAAAATTTCAATTTCATACACCGCGACAGACTGCTGATACGTTTTAAGTGAAAAGAAAATGTATCACTATCAACCTTGATATTCTAATTTCAGACAAGCGACGCTATTTTGAATACACGACGTTGCTGTAGACGTCGATTTAAATTGAAGAGAAAAGCGTCCCGTTCAAAACTGACAGACGACCCATGGAGCTTTTGAGGCTGCTCGTCTAGTCTCAAGATGAAAGCAAAAAAGGAGCAAAGAGCCCAAGGTCGCTCCATGTCATTGACCATCAATGAAAATTTTAGAACACGTTACAATCTGACGTAAGAGCGAGACGGGAGATAAAAGAGAGAAAATAAAATTATATCTCAGACCAATTTTCATGTGACTTCGTTTTACCATCTCCCGACGCTAAAAATTGGATGGATCGGAACCAGTGAATGTTTGAGCTTTTATCGAGCCCTTGCGGTAATGGCGCGGTAAAAGGGGTAAGGGCGCCGGGCTCTTACCAAGGAATAATAGGGGTGGCTTTTGTAACGTGATTTCAAACTTTGAAACTCCAGTCTGAAACAGCACATGGGAATTAATGAGTAACTACGAAATACCCAGACCCTTGTGCTACCCTTAGTTTTAGAGGCGTGTTCCGAAATGATAATAACAACAACAACAGCATATTAGTAGCATACAATTGATATACCCATTGCATCACTGTCATCATTGATAACGACGATCTCAGTGCTTATCTTTGGTACATGGATGCTGCATACGTAATCGTTAATAATTAAAATATAAATTTGCTTATACGTTATCTGAGGGAAATTGGGGGATGAAATATTTATCATTGACCGATCCTTGAGATAAATTTAACTTTTCATCGATCAGCCAGCTTCTACGTATGGGATTGCAAATGGACCGCATACATCATATATGGGGTTATTCACGACAAATGCACCACCGGGTGATTTTTCCATGGAAATCAAATCGACAGGCTAACTCCAGGCGGTGGGTTCGCGAATAGCACTGTATATAGTTATGTTGATAAAATCAGATTAATGTCATATGAATTATGATAGGTCGTTCGTGTCGCCTGTAAGTAGAGGTAAGTGAAGATAACCCTTATCAAGGGTTAAAGTAGGTCCTTGTCACATTGGCAGATCATTTGCCACCCTTTCGCGTCAGACTCTGTTGTTGACTATACATTGTGACGTGATTTTTCGAATCACGGTCCCAAGGCGGCTCCGG